GTCTGTCGCAGAACTACCGATGTGGCCAAAAATGAACTTTGCCCGCTCTCGGGTCGCTGGCGCATCGGCGTGACACTGGCGGCATTCGATCTTGTGGCGGGCGCCCTGGGAGTGCGGACGTATTGGATGCGCTTCATGCTGATTCACTGGGTGCGGACAACCAATGAGCTTCAAAGTGCTGTTTGGAGTATGAGGAAAGGGTGTGACTACGTAATACACTGTGCTTGCTCGACGCTGGGATCTGATGAGAACGCTTGGGTGCTCAAGATTAGGAGGAAGTTACGACAACTACTCGATCCATGGTGAGTTCCGCGCGCCGTGTATAAGAAGCGCGTTGGCCAGCTCGTCGCTGTCGCCAGTTAGCCGCAGCAGCACCTTTCCGACTGCAAATCGCTGAACATTTGGGCGTTGCGGCGCATCTCGGTTGGCTTTTGGTTGAACGGATGCGGTCGAGCCCTGATGTTGCTGGAGTCCGATGTGCGAGACCAAGCTCACGCGTGTCACGTCGGCGAGCTGCCCCGCTGCAATGTAGCTGTACACATAACAGTCGGTGCCACGCCCGTTGATTGTGGCGAGCGACTGATGGGACGGGTCCGTCGCAAATAGCCGGTACATGGACGCCCCCGAGCAAAAGTCTACGCACATGATGCGGCCGTGTCACTATGGTATACACCGAGTGTACCTGCGTCCGTCGGCTTGTGGGGTCGGCACAAGTACAGACAGAGTCGACGCTTCCAATCGTTGAAGTCAAACTTGGCAAAGGAATTGTCGTCCTAGAAAGCGCCACGTCATAATATTGGCTTCTCTATGGGTTAAGTAACCGTCGGGGCCAGTGCAGGGACAGGCGTCGCAGGTGACTTTCGGTCGCTTGGCGCGCGTGCGACCACGCCGAGCTGCACTGGGCGCTGGCGACTCGCACTCAAGACGGACGAAATACTCTTGTGGTAAATCAGCAGCTCTGGCGGGTCCGGACGCGGCTCGGGCGCCCGGCGCCCCAGCACCACCGGTACCAACGCAAGCATGAGGTAGGTGAGGAAAAGCGCGGGAGCCACTTCGATCGTGTAGTAGCTACCATCGGCGGCTGCCGTCGAGAGCGCACACATGATCGAGTTGGACATGCCCACGAGCGGATACCATCGCAGACACCCGTTGGCGGCTGCGCTGAGGAGTACGGTGATAGCAACTGTGAGCACCGTCGTCGACTGAGCGACGCACCAGTGGATCATGCGTTTGCGCCGGAGCAGTCGATTGAGGACCAAGAGCGCTGCGTACGAGAACCAGACGTGGCGACCGAGGTAGTAGGCGCCGCACAAGAAGCTGCGGGCGTCGGTAGCGTAAAGGACGCGGACCGTTGCATGCAACGATACGTCGGCGCTGGCGAGAATGTCGAGGCAAAAACCAATGCAGACAATCGGGTTGGAGATGATCATGGACGTGGGGTCGCCGATAAGGACCTCGTAGCGCTCGACGGTCTTGGATCGATCGCTCAGCGGGTACAGATCAAGGTTCTCGACGAGGTGGGTTATGTGGCGGTAGTACTGGCGCCACAGAAGCCAGCCAATGTAGACGCTGAGGAGCACTCGCCACAAGAGTTTGGCAAACACCCAAGAGCTAGAGTACACGGGAAGTGCGTGGATGAACGAGATGGCGGTTGTATTCGGACCCGTTGGCTGCGCCCACGCAACGGAGACTGCCATCGGGACCGAGACCAGTTGCATGGTCCACGCGCGAGCCGTGGGTGCCGTCGTCATCGTCGTCGTTGCGCAGAGATCCCGGAGCACTTGTGGACCAAAGTCGGGCGGGTAGAAGAGCGCGCCCGGCGCGCGGGCGACAAGCGCAAATGAGCACACGCTCGCGTCGACCGTCGATGTTGTCATGTGGTATGTTGCGTTGGAGTTGTCCGCCGACGCTTGCTGCTTCAAGTCAGCAACGACGGCCGATGCCCATGTCGGCGTCGAGGACGTCGGTAGACCCGCATCAAAGTACCCACTATCGCCCAAGAAAGGCTCGCTCACATACGCTTTCAAAGGGCTCAGAAAAAGGCTGAGCGCAAAGAGACTCGAGATGACCACGGAGCGCTTGTTGTAGTTGACTTTGGTGACACCGCCGGCGTTGAAGTATTTGTGCAGTGAGAGCGTCTTGGGCGTCGGTTGCCGTAGCTTGGACGACTTGCGAGGCAGCGTCGGTGCCCGCGTTGCCCACTTTGGCGCGGTCAGCATGCTTTCGACCATCGACTTTTGTGTACTATTTATTTATTTATATCGCCGAAACCAATCACATCGTCCACTAACTGGTTGTGCTCGAATCCAAACCGCCAGATACTGTAGCGACCGCCGATACGGACAGTCACATCTTTGCGACGGAACCAAGGGGGATGACGCTGAACGAAAGCGCCACATCGTCGACAGTGTAATTTCTGCAAGTCATGGGTGGACCACCAGCGAAATCTTGTCGCTTGCTTTGGACTGACGCAGCACCGTCGTGCCAGCTGCCTTTACAAGTGCAAGCGCCCGCAGCCACACACTGCGGTACCGAAATCATATGCTCCAATTCGCACCCGTCACACACATGCAGAGGTTAGTGATGGTCCATCCATGTGCACTGTACACATCCCAGCAACGGACGGCTGCGACGACTTGGTTTTTGCCATTGCTGCACTGGACGCCGATGGTGACAATGACCGA